GTTTTTTTTTAGACCGGAAACATTACAAACCATAAAATGTCAGGTTTCAAATATTTTTCAGCAACTCTAGGGCCTAAATATCCAAACAATTTCAAGTGTGGAAAGTTTTCCTCCGGTCGCATGCGTAAATTACTCATTAAAGTATTTAGCTCTTTGAAAATTTTAAAACCTGTGAGATCAAAGTTACACGATTTATTTGTCGATTGCTTTTTTTTTTTAAATCACGAAAACTTTCGTAACTACATGATCAAAACCCCGCCATATTGTTGTACAGAAAACAGGATAAAGTCAAATTCCGGGTCACAAGATATGCAAAATTTATCGCACTTGACATTTCACACAGAAAAGATATTCATAAATTATCGTATACGTGAATTGCAGCTATGTTCATACTAAAACTGTTCCATGATCTTCAAGCGCATATCTTGATCTGATTTGAGAAAAGGATCCTTCAGCTTTCCATCGCTCCACAAGCGAAGGATCCCTCGGGGATCCGCTCTCATGGCTTACATATTTATTGACTTCTGTCACACTTTTCTTCCCGGGCTCTGGAGTACCTGGGAAAAAGCGCGAGGAAATAACCTGGGATCTGCATCATTTTGTGGAAGATATGGAAGAAAGGAAACCTGCGCCATCTATATACCGTTATAATCTTCCATTTCGATAATGAAAAATATGAAGCATAAATAGTGATTGTCATACATCATAATTCAGATTAATTTCTGATACGTCCTCAAGTAATCTTGAATTAGCTTCCCGAAATATTTTTTCCGAACTTTTTCGACCGGTAAAATTTATTGTATACATAAAACAAAACGGAAGAGAAAAGAAAATGTATCTCTTGATACGTAATCCCCATAATTTCTCCTCATTCTTTTAATACCATCAGGCACCTCCAAAGTTTCATATATTATTTTTTTATTGATCTTTCGTGCATTTTACTTCCTCCGAAAAATGTTGCAGCTCATTTATTGACATTCAAGCAGAAAACAGAGGGAATCTCAGAAGAATCCCTTTCTGAAAGACGTCCAGAAGAGTCTTCAGCATTTTAATTGCTTTGACTAAGAGAAGGTTGATTAAATGCAACGACATACGCGAAAATGCGGCATTTCAAAGAACTTCAATTTAAAGTTCAAACCACCCACGTGTCCTATTTGCGCCCAGAATCAGAAAATGAGGAAGATGAAAGAACATCTGCATTGAAGTCTATAGCAGACCCGTATTCAAGATTCTTGCTACTGATGTACAAGTATCTTAAAAATAAGAAGTTATCCATGACCCGAAATGTGTAAATTTAATTTACAAACTGCGTTTCATCACGGCTGTGGAACAGAAAAAATTTGAAGCCATATATGGTGATGATTTTTTCATCATTTCTTCTTTGAAAACCAGATTTCATGAGAGAAAAATACGAAATTCAATTCGTCATCAGCGGAAAAATTCCGAAGCTGTTCTTGTCTGAAGACAGTTCATCCTGATTTGATTTTTTTTTCACGATAAACCAATAACAAATCAAATCATTGAACGCTTTCGTGAAATATACTGGAATTGATCATTTGGATGAAAATTAAATTTTGGCTTGCTTGTTTGAAATCTTTGCACTATTCTTGCACTGGGGTTCACTTTAAATCAAAATAGCACTAGATGATTGAGAATACTGTACCTCACGGAAATTGAATCTTTTGTCTCTACAAAACTTAACTCATTCAAACATTTCTTTCGCTATCCTTCAGCAAAAATTCGCAAATTTCGCGGCAGGAGGCACTAATGCATAAAATTTGAATATTGAGTTAAAACCAGGTACAAATAACAATGCTCAAAATGTATTTAATGATGGAGACCATAATAACTTGTATTGCATCCACACTCAAAAGGCTCGAATCGCTTTCATTTTTCTTCGACTCGATGAAGATCTTCGGAACTTAGAAAGCGTGACAATCTGAACACATGTGTTCATAAAGTTGAGATACGTTGTCTTCGCACTCTGGGTAATTAATTAATCAAATTTAGACAAGCGGAGAAAGGACTTCATAGAACAGTATCAAGTAGGGAGATCCACTAGAGCGTTCAACACATGCTTCAGCCAACCTCCGAGAATAGCAACCAATCGTCGCTGATCTCACGAAACCATGAACTTTCTCGCGGAAGAAAAACAACGAGAAATATATATATATATTCACATTTTAAATATAAAAAAGGAGAAACGTGCTTTAAAAGTGGCGAGAAGATTCGAAGGGTTTCTCAGAAGTATTGTGATTCGCCCACAAATAATTTCGGTTACATGAAACACCATTTTTTGAAAAAATTGCCATCCACACATCGTCCCAAAAATTCAGATTCAGGTGGGGTTTTTTGACGGAAATAGTGCATATTTTCCAATTTCTTCCAGCAATCAAAATTGCAAAAACTTGAGAAAAAAATTGGTAAGAAGTGAGACATTTTGAAATTTTTGGGGTGGTTTCGAAAATGTTTTCTTCAAAAGAAAGGTGCCAGAAGTGGAATTTTTGATGAAAATATGCAATTGTAAATCTGTTTTCGGGAAAATCATGGCCAAATCATGAAATAAAACAAACTACTAAATGGATTTTTCGTGGTTAATCGCTTCATCCTCATATTTCCACATCGGATGGTCCCAAAATAATTTCTGATTTTAAATGTATCTTTCTAGGACTGGATAAATTTTCAAGCATTCGAAATGAAAAAAAAATCAAAATGGTTTCAAGTCTTTGTCAAAGCTTTAAATTCCTCGGCAACCTGCAAGACTTATTTTATTTCTTGGCGGATCAAGAAACATAGCTGGCTTTTGATGTTAATTTGTAATTAATTCTCATGCATTTTATAATTCAACATTACATTTTTTATAATAATTTCTCAATTCCTCTCGGTTTCTGTGCTCGACAGAATAAATTTTTAAAGCTATATGAAATGAAGCGATAGAAATGGATCCCGGTGGTATTCGTCATCAGCAATAAAAATTCTTCGGCGACCTGTAAAACTTTGTGAAAGCCCCTCACGCTCAGAATAACGCTGGAAAAAAGTATACATGGAAAAAGTTTCAGGCATTTCTGCGTTCCTGGACACCAGGAAATAAAACTTTTTGTTCTCCCTTGGGAAGGTCCGAGCAAAGCAAGTTTTATTCCCCCTCACTATTCAGTTCTATCCATATATGCGTCATGGCGAGTTGAAGGATGGATGATTTCAGGCAACTTGGTTGACGTCATATCATACATATTATTTTTTTGACATGTGACAAGCGTCTGTCATGATAATAAAAAGAGGGGCAACAAAGCGCCGAAATTTTCTATACCAGAGACGGGTTTTTTATTTATTTATTTTGGGAATGCTATTGCAGAACTCCGGACACAACGGTCCAGAAAATTCTCCTCGAATCTATTTATATTCAGAAAGAGCTGAAAGAAAAAAAGGGACCGAGTTTCTTCGCCGCAAAAAATATTCAGTTCATACGCGAATAATTTTTATTTATCGCGTTGTTTTCTTAAAATTTTAAATTCGGCCTTTTCACGATGTTAAAATTATTTGTTTTCAAAATTTTTTGAAATTTAGAATTCCACTGCTCCAAGAAAAATTATTGCCAGAAAAATCCAATTATTTTCCTCCAAAAACAGATTAATATTTAAAAGACGAAATTTTTCTATGGCAACAAAATACGTACATTATTTTCGTTTCACAAATAAAAAAGGAAGGCTTCTTGAGTGACACACACAGCATTTCTTCGGTGTATAAAATAAACCATTTTTTAGTGAAGTTCGTTTGAATCGGAAAACTTAAAAGACCTGACAAGGTATAAAATATTCACTGCTGAGTGCTAACACTGAACCTTTTTTTTTCAGTCAGAGTCATTCGCAAAAATTCAAAAAAACTTTGCAGATAAATTCGTCAAGGAATGGATTTTAAATTTAGCGTATGAAATTCTTCGCGGTATTGCGTAAAACTACAACCGAGCATTTCAACATCATAATTCGGGAATTAGTATAATCTTTAAAGTGACAGGCCGGGAAATTTTTAAATTTCATTTACAATTTCATCTCGGCAGCAAAATTCCGGTGATCCGTCGAATAAATCTGCTCTGACTTGAAAACTTTTCTTGTTTTCTTCCACGGCGTTTTCTTCGCCGTTACGTGCGAAAATTGCTCGTATAAAGTGATGATATCCGTCAAGGAATATCTTGAGAACTTTAAATTTGATATTTGAACGTCGTGTTGATGGCACGTGAAAAACTCCAATTTACTAACGCATCCAAACAACAACAACAATACAAAGGAAATCACGCGTATGAACAGACGAACCTCAAGGCAAAATAAAACCTTTTCCTCTCTCTCTCTCTCCTTCTTGCCCTCAAGAAAAAAACACACATAGAATAGAACAAAATCCTTCCATCAGCCAGTTCACCGGACCAGAAACGCGTCCATCGAATCAAAACAGGATCCCTATACACATATATAACATACAAAGACGAGGATATAAAAATAAAAATTCCAGCAAAGCGCTAGAAAATCCTGGAGACTCTCTGGAGAGTTTTCCTCCTTTTCCCGAAAGCTGTTGCCGAAAAGCGCATGGAAATTTTCAACCCCCCCCCCCTCCTTTAAGAAGAGAGGCTTGCATAATTTATTCACGCGCGCTGAAAGCGGCCGCTTTTCCCTGAAAGCACCAGCCTTCGTCTCTCAGCTTCTCTCTCTCTAACTTATTTTTTGGGCGTCTTTTTGAAAAGCGTGAAAAGCTCTTTGGGTTGCCTGGTTGTTCATTTCAAGCCAGTGGAAATGGCCTCCGCTTGGTCGGCTTTCCCGAACAAATTCCGTTTCTCTTGCGTATTTTACGCGCAACACGGTTCAACCGTGAGTAGGGTAACGACTCAATCTCGCTACAAATTTCATGACGGGCAGGGGATAAAAATAAAATTGAGCTTCCAGCCGGAAAAAAAACATCTTCAAACATCACAAATTTCTTCATGAATAAATATCTTCGAACTTCAGTTGGAAACAATGGACATAATTTTGGAAATTGAGTTGAAAGAGTGAGAGAGAAGAAGAAATATTCTTCGAACATCAAAAATTTATTCTTCAATGCCAAAATATCTTTCCAGTTAAAATTTTCTTTAATTGCATATAAAACTCAGGAAAATCAGCCGACATAGGAAAGAAACATAAATTCTTCAAACATTGCAAATTTCTTTTTGCTTTTAGTTGGGTGCAATTCACATAATTTTAGGAATTTCATATACATTTTGATAAAATTGGCCTGACAAAAAATTCTTCAAACGTCATATATTTATTCTTGAAAAACGATCTTTGTTTTTCAATTCAAGACAAAGTAGCACGTACTCATAGATATCACACATGAATAGGATATTAAGGGTTCACTCGAAAAAATAAGCATCTTTTAAACATAAAAAGTACTGCATTCCAGAACGACGATCTCCGTTCTTCAAATGAAAACGAAGTGCACACTTTCCCAATTAAATGTAAATGTTAGTTACCTAATTATTGTCGGGCCTCTTTGTGCCTCGAAGAAATTTAATTAGACGGTTGGATGAGATGGTCGCAATTTCCCGCAATAAGTTTTAATTATTTCCTGAACTACCACGGTTAAAATTTTACTCATCTAGGCTGAAATTTAGAAATGAGCAATTTTAATTAGCACTGAAATTATTAGATTTAATTGTATCACACAAACCAATTTCATGCACTTTCTAAATGCTGCGAAATACTGTACTTGAAATGATGTAACCCTATTTTTAGTGAAAATTTCACGTATGCGTAAATCACGATAAAATGAGAAAAAGTGTTCTTATCTCGGCCAATTGTGTGCTGCATTATTATCATTTATGAAGGAAGTAAAATTTGTAATTTACGATGCCAGTCAACTAATATTTCCCGGTTTAAAATTCACACGATAAATCACGCGTATATTCATTAAAATTTCATTCTAATTCAATAAACATAAAGGTCACGATTTGAGTTCCAACTCCAGAAAAATTCGTATTTCGAATGCAAAAATCTTGAATTTCGTGGCACTCAATTTTTATTCTGTTTATTTGGAAGGTTAAGGGAAAAAGGAACAATAATTTAAATGGAAATGACGGAATGCCTATGCAAAAGTAACATGTTCCAAATTTATTTAGTGTACAGTAATTAAAATGAGAATCGTGCTCATATCGAATGAACATCAGAAGACAAAAGCTTTGCGTTCTTGACAAAAAAATCAATGATTTTTCATTGATCAAGTTCAAAACAATGAGAAATTATTGATGATTTTGTGAAAACCGATCTGAAGAAATTTTGGAGCTTTCCCAAATGAAGTCCGCATGAATTCCGTTCGTCTCGAAGCTCATTTAATCCAAAAGATTTGAGTCCAAATTGATCCGAAGATGAATAAAGTTCCAAATCGTAGATAATTTAATTGATTGAATGTTCATTTCATTTTTCCTGATTTTTAATTTATTTGTTTGCAGATGCGAGAACGGAGACACGATAGAAATAATCCAGTCCCTGGACCAAATGATGCGAGGCCGAGTGACAGAGATCCACGAGCTGCGACTCGTGTCCAACCGGATCCCGAAAATGCCAACCCGGGCCTTCGGGTCCCTGCGGATCCAGAACCTGGTCCTGTCCAACAACGGGCTGGAAACAATCGGTCGCCAAGCCTTCGGGGGCCTCGAACCCACCCTGAGGGAACTGGTCATCGAAGAGCCCACGTTATTGTCAATCCCGGCAGACACCCTGGCCCCTCTACGAGAGTTGGAAGTGTTGTCACTGCGAAACACTCCCGTGCATGATCTGGAACCCATCGTGGGTCCCAGTAGGCTCAGGTATACATTTTTTTTCTGAGTGAATTTTAGGAAAGCTTTTTCTTTCTTTTTTCTTTTTACCATTGTCAGCATGGAATTTTGCACTTTACTGCACTCGGAATTTGGAGTTTAAAATTTGCATTTTGTTTTCTTCGCCCACAAAATGCAGAAATAAATTTCGGAATTCTGAAGTCTGCGGAGTCTCGAGGACGACTAACGAACTTAATTCGTTTCAATCAATTAAGTTCGTTAATGTGACTTGATCAGGGCTTCCTGCACGAAAACGAAGGAATCAAGTCCGTCAGAATTTTCCTAAATGCCCAGAATGCCACACATTTTCAATATTACGCTCATTCAAATGAAAAATTCAGCTCTGATTCAAATTTAAATAGCGGGAAAAAATGCGTGGCTTAGCGTAGTCAACATGAAAATACAGTATGATTTAAATAAAAATAAGAGTCTCATAACACAGAATTTCATCTTCATAAAACGCGGAAAAAATCTTGAATCTATGAACAGTCTATATCCTTATTCTTTTTTTTATATTTTTAAGTTTCGCAAACAAAATACAATATTGTACTGCACAAGGAAATAATGGAATACAAACGTGAAGTGAGGTCGATAGAAAAAATTAGGAACCGTATTCATTGACGATTTGGAGACAATCGCATACAACCTTTGCTATTTTGACGTTCATTTTAAAGGAATTGCAATATTCAAAACATTCCACGTAATTCGAAATCGCAGTATGTGTTCTATCTAACAACCACAACAATCAAGTCATTTAGGATTCTTTCATCAAAATGTGAAGTATTCTCAGATTTCGGAAGCATTATACAAATCAAGTTTTTATACTATTGCCCGAAAATACCTTATGTTAATTCGCCTGAAAATTCGAAGATATACTGGATATTTTTCCACTCTCGCTTTTTTCATTGTTCCATCATTGGAAATTGTTCAAAAAAACAGTTTTTTGAATTTAAAATGCTTCTCAAAGTCCTCTCGTCTGAAAATACAGGACTTCTTTCATCAAAATGCAAAGTGCGCACAGATGTAAGGCCTTCGATCCACGGCCATAGTTTTGCGTCTCATTAAAAAAAAGTTTTTAAAATGCTATGCAAAACAGAGCCGTCCGCGATGACTAAAGAATTTAAAAAAATCGAAAGTATTGAGCGTTTAAAAAATATGAGGGACTCACAAATAAAAAGTTTTTGAAAATATTACTGTACTTTTTTCAAATAATTACACAAAACAGAGACGCCCACGATGACTTGAGAATAAAATAAATAAATAAAAAGTATTGAGCGTATAAAAAATATGAGGATCACACAAATAAAAAGTTTTCAAAAATATGATTGTACTACTTTTTTTAATGGTTATGCAAAATAGTGACGTCCGCAATGACTTGAAAATACAGTAAAACAAAATCAATATGACTGAGCGTAGAAAAAAAAGATGATGGACACACAAATAAAAAGTTTTAAATAATATTACTGCACTTTTTTTAATGGTCATGCAGAACAGTTACGTCCGCAATAACTATTGAGACACTACACTACAAAAAATCAAAATTATTGAGCGTATAAAAACAACATTAGGGAAATAGGGACTCACAAATAAAAAAGTTTTATTTGAATATTACTGCGTGTTTTTTTTTTTATAACGAAACAAAAACATTTTTCTTTCGTATAGATTTGTTCACGTGGACAGAGCGGCATTGTTGGACATCCCGCCGCAAGCATTCGCGGCTCTGCCTTCGCTCCGCTTTTTGCACATCACCAATTCAGCAGTGCGAAAATTGCACCCCAGGGCATTCCACGATCTGCCCGCGCTTCTCATCATGAACCTGACAGGGAATCACATCACTGCCATTCATCCTGAAGCTTTCAGTGCTACACCAAGCCTGGAAACCCTCATTTTGGACGGCAACAACGTCAAGGATGCGGACATGGTAAATGCGATGCCAAAAAAAAAAGCGTTGCTTTTCCATCACAACAAAGCAACTCATACAACAACGAAAATAACTTCGTTTTTATAAATTTTTAAATGTGATGCTGCGTTTCAGCGAAAAATAAGAATAAAAATCAGGCAGATTCTACTGCGTATCACAACAATTTTCTCTCCCAAACTGTGTCTAAGTTTAATTTGTTTTTGCACGCGTTTGACTCATTATTAAATAAAAAATATATTTATAGTAAAATATCATTCGAACAAACCTCGTTATAACCAAGTTTTGCTCAGAGCAAAAATATTGCAAGTATTTGCCTTGAGTCTAAAAACACCAGAACTGTTTGAGCGTCAATTTTCAGTAAGTTTATTTACAAGGTATGGCTGAAATTTTGAATAAGGCCTGATGTTATAGTGGCATATTCAAGCATTATAAAAATGGTTTTTCTTGAGAAATCACCATGAGTAACTATTGGATATGAATTTAGTGAACTCACAAGACAACCAAAATGGCATACGCAATTTTTTTTCTTAAATTTTCTGCAGGTTTCTGAAGCAGTTGGACACCTGAGGTCCTTGAGAACTTTGGAAATGAGAAACAATGACATTGAAAGACTTCCTTCAAGATCTTTCGACAGACTGGAATCCGTGGAAAATTTGATCCTCAGTGGAAACGAGTTGGCTGAAGTGCATCCAGCTGCTTTTTCTCGCATGCCTTCATTACAGGTAACAGTAAACTTCTCAGAATAATAACTTAAATATTTTAAAAATATTCGCCTCTAAAACCAAAAATAATTTTGTGACCACCGCGAAAATTCCGAGTCACATTCGTGTGACATCACGGACACTTTTAATTCGTATTACATTTCTGCAACAACAAAAAAATTTAAATCACAAGGTGCTGGACTTGAGTTTCACGGGTTTAGTGGACCTGCACCCAGAGACTTTCGATGGAACCCCGCGGTTGGCTGAGCTGTACCTGGGAGGCAATAACGTGACCCTGTTGGCAGGAGTGACGAGGGCCACAAGGGCGCTGCCATCTTTGAGGGTCCTCGACTTGAGCAGGAATGAAGTTGCCAGTGTGGAATCCGGGGTTTTCCATGGACACCATAATCTGGAGTCACTCTACCTCGACAGGTTAGTTTGTGTATCCTTCCTTATCCCATAGCAATCTTATTCAATTTTCAAGAATTTATTTTGGGAGATCATGGAGGGGAAAATATCTTTACAAATGATACTTCGCTATTCAACCATCCCAAATTTTGATTGTAAAATTTACAGTAGGGAGGTTGACTCTCAATTCAAACTCCTGCCTTGCAATTCAACCTGTGGAGAGACATGAAATGTCAAATGCCATGCAGAAAACATGCCATTTGACATTGTCTTGAAATTCAACTGCTTTGCAATTTGACCCTAGTCCAGCAACAGATAAGGGTTAAATTGCGAGATACCCCCTCAGTAAAGGTAAAAAAAAGGTAAATGATTTAAGAAAAATAAAATACAGTTCCACACCAAATTTATACATTTACTTTCCATCAAGGAATGAAACACTGCGGTGACTTTAACAAGCTAAGTATCTGAAAAACAACATAATTTGTGTCAGACATCAAAAGTTTGCCAAGATGAAAATAATGCAAATTCACTGTAAAAAGGTTGATGCACTTTCCTGTTTTAACTAAAAGGAATTGAAAATTTTACAAATTCAAAATATTGCTGGCCAAAACGTTTGTTGACCATCAAAGGTCATTCAGAAAAAATTTAAACCCTCATTCTTGTGTCGTCCTAAAACCATCAAAAAATAAAACAAATAAGACACAGGAACATTTTGATTCGTAAACTGGGGGATTTTTGAAGGAAAAAAGTTTGTTCTACCAAATTTTAGTTGGTTATATTGCAAAGGGATTTTTTGTCTCACATGAAAAGTTTGCAAAGATGAAAATACTGCTGATTCACTATACAAAGTTTGATGCACTTTCCTTCTTGGTGTTTCAACTGAAGGAATTGAAAATTTCACAAACTGAAAATATGGCTGGACAAGAAGATCGTTGATCAAGGGTCATTCACAAAATTTTTTTAACTCTCATTCTCGTGCCATCTTCAAAAAAAAAAGAACAAATAAAAATTTCGGTCTGTAAACTGTGGGATTTTCGAAGAAAAAATGGTTTGTTCTACCAAATTTTAGTTGGTTCTAGCAAAGGAATTTTTTTTGTCAGGCATTAAAAGTTTCCCCAAGATGAAAATACTGCGGATTCACTGTACAAAGGTTGATGCACTTCTCTTCTTGGTGTTTCAACTGAAGAAAGCTACAAATTTTGCAAAATCAAAATATTGCTAGCCAGGAAATTCTTTGACCAAGGGTCATATTCAAAAAAATTAAATTCTCATTCCCGTGTCATCCTAAAAACCAATGAAAAAATAAAACATATAGAACCAAGGAACATTTTGGTTCGTAAACTGGGGGATTTTCGAAGGAAAAATGGTTTGTTCTACCAAATTTTAGTTGGTTATAACGAAGGGATTTTTTTTGTCAGACATCAAAATTTTGCCAAGATGAAAGTGCTGTACTGAAAATTCACTGTAAACTAAGGTTGATGCACCTCCCTTCTTTGTGTTTCAACTGAAAAAAGCTACAAATTTTGCAAAATCAAAATATTGCTGGCCAGGAAATTCTTTGACCAAGGGTCATATTCAAACAAAATTTTAAACTCTCATTCCCGTGTCATCCTAAAAACAATTAGAAAAATAAAACTTATTGAACAAAGGAACATTTTGGTTTGTAAACAGGGAGATTTTCGATGGGAAAAAAGTTTGTTCTGCAGAATTGTAGTATTGGTCATAACCAAGGGATTTTTTGTCAGCCGTCAAAATTTTGCCAAGATGAAAATACTGTACTACGGATTCACTGTACAAAGGTTGATGTAATTCCCTGCTCGGTGCTGCTTGAACTGCAGGAATTTAAAAATTTTGCCAAATAAAAATATTGCTGGCCAAGAATAAGTCAGTTGACAAAAAAAAAAAGCGTTTAAAAATTTTTTCTCCAGCCCTGATTTTTGTGTCGTCTTGTTCATCCCTCGTGAAATTTTTTTTGTTTTAAAACAGGAACAAGTTGTCGGCAGTGCACATGGACGCCTTCGGCGACCTCCGCAGCCTCCGAAAACTCGACCTCCACGACAACTACCTCACCAGCGACACCATGGTGCGCGTGGGGCGTCCCTGGCGCCTCCCCAACCTCCACACCCTCGTCCTATCCCGCAATGAGCTGACTCACATAGCCCGAGCCGCCTTCGAGCACATGCCGTCGGTGATGCATCTGGATCTCCGCGACAACAACATCGAGACGCTGGAAAACGGCGCCTTTTCCGCACTTCACCGCCTCGAGTACCTCAACGTGTCGCACAATAAAATCCAGGAAATACCCCAGGAGTGCTTTGCCAAATTGGGGGAATTGCGGGACCTGGATTTGAGTTACAATGTCGTCGAGGAGCTCGGGCCCGGGGTTCTGGCGGATTTGTGGAATTTGAGAGCGTTGCACTTGAAGCATAATCAAATATCCACGTTTGCGCCCGATGCTTTGCCGCCAGATAGTAATCTGGTGTTTCTGGACGCCTCTGAGAATTTCATCAAGGATTTCGAGCAGTGGCCCATGAGTGCTAGAAGAAGGCTGAAACATTTGGATTTGTGCTGGAACGAGGTCAGCAGTCAGTTTATTCATTTTTAATTTTGACAACAACAAAAAAAACAAAGTGTATATTGCACAAATGAGGCGATTTTCAATTAACGGTTTTCCCGAAAAATTTTCCTAAAACATATTGATGAACCCAGAGTTTTTTGAGTATAATTGAAATTTTTTAAAGAAATTCCCAGGCATTTTTTGAATCGTCACCTTGAAAAAATTACTGCAGTGTGAGTACGCTTAGAAACATTTTCCATTTTCTCAATTAAAAAACTGTAAATTAATAATGAAAAAGGGATGTAATGTCGCTTCTGCTCCAGATTCGGGCTTTCTATGGCAAAGAAATTTCACATGATTCACTCACTCTGGTGGAAAACATTATCAAAAGTTTGAACGCTATTACAGAATATTTTTTTTAATTGAATGAATTCTTGCGGAAATTCCTGCTGGTCAGGATCGCACTCAAAATTCATAAGCATTCTTTCAATAAGGCATTCCCATTTTTACAAATTTACTATTTAACTACTGTTCAAGTGGGCGAAACGTCGATTACACGTCACCAAATTTCTTGAATCAAGTTCCAAAATGACATTCACAGTTTTAAAGCGTCAACCAATTTATAGAGCGGATCAAACATTTTTTGAGAATAATCTTTTAAATGTTGTAACTCTTGAATGGTTTGACGCATGACATTCGCAAGTAAAACTTGATTTCATTTAATTTTCTCTCAAATAATTTTCAACTCATGCTTTTATTGTTTCATTGGTACAACCAAAATGAAAAAAATAAAAAATACCACTGAGAAAAAGTTATTTCTCCAGAGGATTTGTTCGGGATTTTCCAACAGCTGTCCTAGTTCCGTGCGGCTTTAAACGATTTATTACAAGAAAGAAAAAAAATTACGGCTAGGTTTTTTCGAAGATTGATTCGACGATTTCCCTGCTTATAACTCACGTAGAATTTGACCAAATAAATTTCAAAAAATTTAATAAATAACGCAACGTAATTCACGGTTAAACATTGCATTCAACAGAACAAAGGAAGTAGACAAAACACGATAACAGGTAACACCAAAATATTTAAATCCGCTAATTTTTCGATAGTTTTTTCTGGTCGACACCCTTTTGAAGCTACTTATAGTTGATGGCACGCAAATAAATTTACTGCTCAGAAACGAATTTTCAAACATTTAATAGAGAAAACAGTAGCATAATACCACAGTACAGTATATATTATCTGAAAAACAAGTGACCCATCATACGATCCCCCAACTGTTCCTCCAATATAAGGTCTTCAAAATACAGTGACCCCAACATTTTGCGGTTTGAGTGATTCACCAGCCACTTCCTAAACGAAAAAGCTTTCTGTTGTCGGGGTGGTTATCAAATGCTTCTTTTTCTTTTTTTTAAACCCCCAAATGTCCACAGATTGAAGAAGTCGGGGAAGCTTTTTTCGAAAACTTGGAAAGCATCAACACGCTTCTGCTGGCAAACAACATGATCAAACGGTTGTCAACGTCCGAAACAAAGCCCACAAAATCCCTGCGAACCCTGGACATCAGTGGCAACCAGCTTCAAGAACTCGACCCGAAATTCCCACAACAATTTTCCTCCTTGGAATGCCTAAACGCCAGCAGAAACGGGATCCGAACCCTGCCAACCCTGAGACCCCTGTCACGACTCCACACCCTGGACCTCTGCAACAATTCCCTCACCCGACTCGAAGACGCAGTTTTCTCAGGCACCACATCACTTCAATACCTGGACCTGAGTGAGAATATCCTCAGGGAAATCAACCCGGGCACTTTCCGGCCCCTCGGTGCCCTCAGGCAACTGAACCTACGCAAAAACGAATTGCCGAGTTTGCCCAAAGACTTCATTGCGGGTCTGTGGACGCTTTCGGCCGTCGACCTGTCGGAAAACGGCATCGAGAATGTCCAAGAGCGAGCCTTCAACGCGTTGCCGAATGTCAAAGAGGTTGACCTGAGTCGGAATAGGATAGTGCGGGTCGATCCCGGGGCATTCGAGGGTCTGAGTTCACTGAAAAGCCTGCGGGTGGAAGGAAATGCCATAGAACGGCTGGAAGGGGACGTTTTCAGAGACACCCACGACGTGAAGTTGGTCAACTTGAGCCACAACTTCTTCGACAAGTTCCCGACAGATGCCCTGAGGAGTTTGAAAAGCGTGAAGGTGGTCGACCTGAGTCACAATCGGATCCTGGAAGTTTCTCAGGACGAAATCGAACAGCTTCCCGACGTCTCTTCAGTGATGGTAAGCAGATACAGTGAGACCCCGAGATGCGGACGTAATTGGTGTATCAAGAGTGTCCCCAAGTCGAAATGTCCCTAAGTCAAATCTTGTTTTCCCATAGACTTACATTGTATAATTTTTAATCGGTGTTTTATGGAAGTAGTGAGACCCCGAGATGCGGACGTAATTGGTGTATCAAGAGTGTCCCCAAGTCGAAATGTCCCTAAGTCGAATCTTGTTTTCCCATAGACTTACATTGTATAATTTTTAATTGGTGTTTTATGGAAGAAATATTCTTCAGAATTTCTTGAAAAAAATTGTTTGCCACTTGAATTTGATTCAATGAATATATTTTCAAACCAATAAGAACATTTGGAACATTGACTAGTGTACCTCTTTACAGTAAAGTGAAAAGTTGGCATCTGGAAAAATAACATCCCTGTCACAAAGAGAGCTAGAAGCAAGTACCTCTGTGCTATAGGGCATTTTTTAAATTAGCTGAATGGATGGGAAAATGATGGGAAAAGTACCAAAGAATTTTTCTTGCATAGATCTTAGGTTGGAAACATCTGTTTCTTGCAATTACGCCTTATAAAAATAGATTTTCCTAAAATTTATTTTGGAATTTTACCCTGCAATGTCCCCAGGTCTAGTCAGTGTCCTCATGTCGGATCTTTTTTATGATTTTTTTGTTGAAAAATAAATGTCCCCATGTCAAATTGTCCCCATGTCAAGGCGTCCGCATGTGGGGGTCTCACTGTATATATACATAAGATAGACAGTGAGACCCCAAGATGCGGACATCATTGGTGCATCAAGAGTGTCCCTAAGTCAAAATGTCCCTAAGTCGAGTCTCATTTTCCCTTGGACTTACTTTATAGAATTTTTAATTGGTGTTTTATGTACAAAATACTCGCCACAATTCCATTAAAATAAAAATTGTCTCCCAATTTAAACTGATTCCAATCAATATATTTCAACACAATATGGGCATTTGGGGAATTGAATACTGATACCTCTAATGTACATATAAATGTTGGCCGTAAAAATAATATTCAAGTGAAAAAGAGAGAAGGATATCCCTAAAACTAACAATTTTTAAATTCTTCATTCAGAAATCTTGGAAAATTGTCAGTATCTCGAGTTACTGTCCTGATTTTGTGGGCAGATTTTTTCAGCTCCAAGTGTCCCCAAGTCGTATTGTCCGTATGTCGGGGTCTCACTGTACTTGAAACATCATGCACTGAGGCAATTTCTTATCTTCCTCATATACAACAAGGAACACAGTGGGTTTACGCATTAGTGAGTGAAATTCGCACATGAGGATATTTCCTGGGGAAGAAAACGTGACCCGCATAAGGATTTTTTTTCGGTATAAGAACGTTTCCTCGAGATATTTCTCTTCAAAAATAACAACAGAGTCCCAACGAAATGGGCTCCAGTTTTTTTATACTTTTCTGCGTTCCAGAATCATCCTTTTTTCTATTTTTATTGATCGTGAGATTCTTGATGACTAAGGTCCCCACATATCGAAAGGTTTGCATATATTGTACAGTACAGTACAGTATAGTAAAATTCACATGAGGAAACTTTTTTGAGAGGGAGTAAATCGTGTAATAAATTTCTTCCGCAAGGGAACGTTTCCTTGAGATTTTACTCTTTGAAAAAAAAAACCACAGCCAACCGAATGGGTTCCTTTTTGCGATATTTTTTGTCATCTTTTCAATGACAATTGATCGTGACTGAGGTCACCGCAAAAAAAGACTCATATACAGTACTTTACTACTAAAATTCGCACGAGCAAATTGCTTTGAGAAAAAAAAAACGTTGTCTCGCAGAAGAAATTTCTTGCGGAAAAGAAAATTTTATCGACGGATTTTACTTCTTTTATTTATCAAGAGTCAATTTTTAAAATCCGTTTCTAATGTCGAAGAAAAATCTTTTTGATGACAATTTACTTCGTCAGGGAACGAATAAAAGTTTTCACAATTATTCTCTCAAGGAAGTTGGGTTTCACAAAGGTAACATTTCACCCAAGGAAACTCAACCACGAAAAACAGCACATTAGCTGATTTGTGCAAAAATTCACTGCAATGTGATTCCGGGGTTTTCAATGTGTGCCCTCTGGAGCCCATGAAGATCTCGTATAAAACTTTACAGGGGCTCCATCGACGCTCAAGATAAAATTGGATTAAGTCGAAGGTAGATAATCAGAGTGTTCAAAGAATCGGAAATAAATCGGAAATAAATAAAAAAAAGAATAAAAGAATCGGAAATAAATCATTTAATACTGTAATTCGTTTTAAAAATTAAGAACATTTTCTGCAGGGCGTGGTCATGTTTTAGCACCAAAAAAATCAATAGCAAGACATGGAATTAATCAAATAAGTATCGTTACATAATTTGATTCCAACACGGGCTTCAGTGAAGAAATCACATTTTAAAATGTCAGAAGGTTACATATTTTATGATGAATATTTTTCAGATCGGTATTTCAATATTTTGGAGGTGTTGCATCAAAACACACGTTTGAAAATTTTCATCAAGTCTGATAATCCTGTCAAGACTGACGTGGAATGATTTCACTTGAATTTGTCTTACGAATTTAATCTCAAATTTCCGTTACACGTAAATAGAGATTTCAGCATTCATCTTCATTTTTTGCTTGGAAGAATCTCTGAAGGCAAACAATTATTACTCTCAAATCTAAGACACCCTGCTGCTATTTGTTAGAAAATAAACTGAATACAGGTGGACTCTTTAATAACGATCTTGGCTATTACAGCAATCTTCTCCATATAAAGAATTATACGTGGACTCTCTCTACAAAAATCTCGTCTATAACGAGTTTCCCCGTAGAATACTGCATAACTAATTTTTTTTTCTTGGGGTTCCACAGGATTTTCTTCTAATGTTACACTAAATTCTCTACAACGATTTTCTCCGCATAGAGAATTTTGTCTGGTCCCTTCCATTTCGTTGTAGCGAGAGTCCACCTGTATTTTTAATTGTTTTTTCTCATTATCCTTCCCTATACAGGTTTTCTACGACAACATTTCTCTCCATTCCGATTTTTTTCTGGCCCCTGAATTTATTCGGAGAGAGAGAGAAAGAGAGAGTGACCCAGGCCCTGACTGAAAATAAAGGTGCTTATCCAGAAAACAATCCAGGTCCTATAGGGACAAAACCAAGCGAACCCTATCCCACCAAGATTCAATTTGTGGAAAACTTCATCAGCGCCGCTCAGGACTATACATTACATAACAAAATAAAAATAAAAATAAAAACCCAGAAAAAAAATATATATATAAAAGGTAAGCATGTATACACACCAAGAGAGAGGAGAGAAAAACCTTCCCGTGGGACCAGAAGCAGNTTTTTTTTTCTTGGGGTTCCACAGGATTTTCTTCTAATGTTACAATAAATTCTCTACAACGATTTTCTCCGCATAGAGAATTTTGTCTGGTCCCTTCCATTTCGTTGTAGCGAGAGTCCACCTGTATTTTTAATTGTTTTTTCTCATTATCCTTCCCTATACAGGTTTTCTACGACAACATTTCTCTCCATTCCGATTTTTTTCTGGCCCCTGAATTTATTCGGAGAGAGAGAGAAAGAGAGAGTGACCCAGGCCCTGACTGAAAATAAAGGTGCTTATCCAGAAAACAATCCAGGTCCTATAGGGACAAAACCAAGCGAACCCTATCCCACCAAGATTCAATTTGTGGAAAACTTCATCAGCGCCGCTCAGGACTATACATTACATAACAAAATAAAAATAAAAATAAAAACCCAGAAAAAAAATATATATATAAAAGGTAAGCATGTATACACACCAAGAGAGAGGAGAGAAAAACCTTCCCGTGGGACCAGAAGCAGGCATGATGCATCCACCTGACAGAATTTCCATGAGCTTTCCTCCTGCCCCCATCCCTTAGTTGCATGCAATCCTCTTTGCTGTGTTCTCGTGCCCTGTGCTATGTGTGTGTGTGTGTGCACAACAACCCCCATGATCCCCTGCCCAGGAGCTCATCTCACCGCATCCAACAGCAGAAAAACCCCTCCCCCCACCAGAAAAAGAAACTACTCCTGGGCGGGTAATGAGATGGATGATCCTTCTGCGCCTCTGGAGCCGCGAAAAAGACACGCATGGGCGAAAAGGCAAAAAAAAGGAAGGATTTATACCCCCAAAAGAAAATCTTCTGGCGAGAGGAGAAGTAGGAAGAGAAAAAAAGATGCCAGGCTCATAAATCATTAATGTGGTATCATGAGGGTGTGGGGGAATGATGGTGCTGATATTATTGGGGCTCTATATATAGAGGCATAGACGGATTAAAAAGGAGTCCCGTAGGGATCATTCGTATGAAATTCCACGTTTTCCTCCATGGAATACCATTCGACGCACTCAATATTGCATGCAAATGTCACCCTTTTTCTCCCCATCTGCTGAATATATAGCAGGAAATATACGGACAATGAAATCAGCAATAAACAGAACCTGTGCTGCGTGTTGTCAACGGAAATAATTTCTCATCGCAGAATGACGGTTTGAGAATTGCGCGAAACCGAAAAAAATGAACTCAGTAAAATCTCATAACGTTTTTTTTTAAATCACGCGTCAAACGATTTTTTTACTATTCTTGTTTCAGGAGAAAAGTGATTCAAATTCAAAAGAACGAAATTGCTTCGTTGTAACGAGATTTTATAATTTTTAAGTGGAGACAATCCAGAATATTTTTCGATTTCCGAACGCAGTTTGATAAAATATATAAAGAATCCCAAGTTCTTTGAAAATTCTATCCAGCAATTTTTTTTCGAAAGCTGCTGCACAGTAATTGAAAAAACTACACAATATTGCATTAATAAATTGCCCAATAAACAAGCGAAATGTCTTCGAACATCAATATGACACGTGAAACGCCGACATTTGTAAATAAAAATTTCGCACATTTGAAATAAAATATAAAATGACATGACAACAAGACAAGTATCACATATCAAGAAAAATGTTCAGCCCTGAGGTTTCAAATCAAACCAGCATTTCTTATACAAGGATCGACTTTCCTCGTTCACGGTTCCCCGGTTCAACACAAGATCAAAGGTTACACTGTACATAGGAGAGGGGGGAAATTGAAGTTGGACGTCTTATAGACGTGTAATGCTTACGCCCATCATCAAAAGGAATTTCAAATTTTGTCGTACGTCCACCAGCAGACATTCCTTTCAGAAATCCTGTTTTTTAAAGCTGGTATGATGTCGTATTGAATCGATTAATAAAAGCATTTCGTATTTTCCAGCTGAATGACAACAACATTTGCAAGTTCCATGGGAGCAAGAATTTTCGCAACAGGAACATAACGCGGATGAAAACTTTGGACCTGCACAACAATTATTTGATGTACCTGCCTGAGGAACCTTTCAGAGATCTGATGCATACCGTCAACAATCTTGATGTTTCAGGTACATTTTTTTTTAGATTTAGAAAAATATTCATGAGAGGGGAAGCAAAGACATGTACATTCTTCACAACACAATACAGTGCGTATGATATCCGCATACAGAAAAGTATTGTACTAGGCGTACATGCCGGCAAAAGAGCGATGCCGCGACCCGGGATCGAACCGGGGACCTTTAGATCTTCAGTCTAACGCTCTCCCAACTGAGCTATCACGGCACTTCGTACTACACTGCTCTTCACAAGGAGTATACATACTCCGCAGTTTTATTAGCATCGAACATTTGCATTCACATGGTGTTTTGGACGGTGCAGGATTCTATTTACAGTACTGTACTGTACTATCCACAAAAAATGTCCTGTATAATCCTAAAAAGCATAAAATAAAATAAATATGAGAAAATTGTAATCCTATAATTCAGACTGAAAAAAAATCAACACCTATCAAACTTGCGAGCAGTGGTATAAAACTTCGCTGCAGTGCCAAAATACAGCAATGAAAAACATCAAATATGAGCAAAATTTCGAAGTTGATATTTCAAGGGAGAATCCAATACAACACAGAAAATAACGACCGCATAAATACAGACGATTGCCATGACATGGTCGGTCGACTCAGTCGTACTGTACATATATTGTGTGATGATTTTGGAGTGGAACACAAATTTGGATTTTTATAGGGGTCTTCGTTCCCCGTGATACTTAACTTATTCAAAACGACGCTGAGTTAATCGACCACACCATACAAAATCTCGGGCTAATTTACCAGAATAACTTGCAATAGCCTACGTGCAATACAGCTGTATACACCGTACTTATTAAAATGGTCCCTCTTTTCGATGGTGCCACTTCAATAAATGGCAGCGGTTCCTATCGTCCCACCTCATGCATATATTCATCACTACAGTTTTAGATTGAAACAATTACAGTCATGATTTTGAATTGATTCAAGTTCAACAAAAAATCCATCAATTTTATCCCGAATTTTCAATTACAGAATAGAATTTTTCGCCTTTTCCTATGCATATCTAGATATTCATATGTTCTTCCTTTTTTCCAATAAAATCCATTCTATTCCCATATTATCCACTTCCTCCCGTACATGAACAACGTATTTAGCAATTCATTCGTGAGCATGGAAAATCAATTCCACCCGAGTACGAGCTCTCACGTACCACAAATATAAAACAGTACGCGCATATAAAAGACCCGGATTCTTATATTTCAACATAAGAGGCATCCATTATGTCAAGATAAAGGGATTCTAGACATATGGACGCCACTTGCGTTAATCTTGATGACGNCCTTCTGCGCCTCTGGAGCCGCGAAAAAGACACGCATGGGCGAAAAGGCAAAAAAAAGGAAGGATTTATACCCCCAAAAGAAAATCTTCTGGCGAGAGGAGAAGTAGGAAGAGAAAAAAAGATGCCAGGCTCATAAATCATTAATGTGGTATCATGAGGGTGTGGGGGAATGATGGTGCTGATATTATTGGGGCTCTATATATAGAGGCATAGACGGATTAAAAAGGAGTCCCGTAGGGATCATTCGTATGAAATTCCACGTTTTCCTCCATGGAATACCATTCGACGCACTCAATATTGCATGCAAATGTCACCCTTTTTCTCCCCATCTGCTGAATATATAGCAGGAAATATACGGACAATGAAATCAGCAATAAACAGAACCTGTGCTGCGTGTTGTCAACGGAAATAATTTCTCATCGCAGAATGGCGGTTTGAGAATTGCGCAAAACCGAAAAAAATGAACACAGTAAAATCTCATAACGTTTTTTTTAAATCACGCGTCAAACGATTTTTGTACTATTCTTGTTTCAGGAGAAAAGTGATTCAAATTCAAAAGAACGAAATTGCTTCGTTTTAACGAGATTTTATAATTTTTAAGTGGAGACAATCCAGAATATTTTTCGATTTCCGAACGCAGTTTGATAAAATATATAAAGAATCCCAAGTTCTTTGAAAATTCTCTCCAGCAATTTTTTTCGAAAGCTGCTGCACAGTAATTGAAAAAACTACACAATATTGCATTAATAAATTGCCCAATAAACAAGCGAAATGTCTTCGAACATCAATATGACACGTGAAACGCCGGCATTTGTAAAAAAAATTTCGCACATTTGAAATAAAATATAAAATGACATGACAACAAGACAAGTATCGCATATCAAGAAAAATGTTCAGCCCTGAGGTTTCAAATCAAACAAGCATTTCTTATACAAGCATCGACTTTCCTCGTTCACGGTTCCCCGGTTCAACAAAAGATCAAAGGTTACACACTGTACATAGGAGAGGAGGGAAATTGAAGTTGGACGTCTTAGACGTGTAATGCTTACGCCCATCATCAAAAGGAATTTCAAATTTTGTCGTACGTCCATCAGCAGACATTCCTTTCATAAAACCTGTTTTTTAAAGCTGGTATGATGTCGTATTGAATCGATTAATAAAAACATTTCGTATTTTCCAGCTGAATGACAACAACATTTGCAAGTTCCACGGGAGCAAGAATTTTCGCAACAGGAACATAACGCGGATGAAAACTTTGGACCTGCACAACAATTATTTGATGTACCTGCCTGAGGAACCTTTCAGAGATCTGATGCATACCGTCAACAATCTCGATGTTTCAGGTACGTTTTTTCAAGATTTAGAAAAATATTCAAGAGAGGGGAAGCAAAGACATGCACATCCTTCACAACACAATACAGTGCGCATGATATCCGCATACAGAAAAGTATTGTACGAGGCGTACATGCCGGCAAAAGGGCGATGCCGCGACCCGGGATCGAACCGGGGACCTTTAGATCTTCAGTCTAACGCTCTCCCAACTGAGCTATCACGGCACTTCATACTGACCCGTCCTTCACGAAGAGTATAGATACTCCGCAGTTTCATTAGCATCCAACATTTACATTCACACATGGTGCTGTTTTGGACAGTGCAGGATTCTATTTACAGTACATGTACAGTACTGTACTATCCACAAAAAAATGCCTTGTATAATCCTAAAAAGCATGAAATAAAAACATTTGAGAAACTTGTAATCCTAGAATTCAGACTGAAAATAAAATCCACACTTATGAAACTTGCGAGCATCAGTGGTATAAGATTTCGCAGCAGTTGCCAATACAGCAATGAAACACATCAAATATGAGCAAAAATTCAAAGTTGATATTCCAAGGGAGAAACCAATACAATACAGAAAATAACGACCACATAAATACAGGCGATTACCATCACATGGTCGGTCGTACTGTACATATATTGTGTGATGATTTTGGAGTGGAACACGAATTTTGGATTTTTATAGGGGTCTTCCCCGTGATACTTAACTTCAAAACGACGCAGAGTTAATGGACCGCACCATACAAAATACCGGGCTAATTTACCAGAACTTGGAATAGCCTAAGTGCAATACTGTACGAGTATATACCGTACTTATTAAAATGGTCCCAGTTTTCGATGGTGCTACTTTGATAAATGGCAGCGTTTCCTATCGTCCCACCTCATGCATTCTTCAGTTTTAGATTGAAACAATTACTGTCATGATTTTGAATTGATTCAAGTTCAACAAAAATTCCATCAATTTTATCCCGAATTTTCAATTACAGAATATAATTTTTCGCATTTTCCTGTGCATATCTCGATATTCATATGTTCTTCCTTTTTTTCAATAAAATCCATTCTATTCCCATATTATCCACTTCCTCCCGTACATGAACAACGTATTCAGCAATTCATTCGTGAGCATGGAAAATCAATTCCATCCGAGTATGAGCTCTCACGTACTACAAATATAAAACAGTACGCGCATATAAAAGACCCGGATTCTTATATTTCAACATAAGAGGCATCCATTATGTCAAGATAAAGGGATTCTAGACATATGGACGCCACTTGCGTTAATCTTGATGACGTACAAATATAAAACAGTACGCGCATATAAAAGACCCGGATTCTTATATTTCAACATAAGAGGCATCCATTATGTCAAGATAAAGGGATTCTAGACATATGGACGCCACTTGCGTTAATCTTGATGACGCCGAATGTGTTGCTATATACCCCGAGATAGGAGAAACCAGAACTCACCATATATGAACGCGTATGTGTCATCCGTTGAACAAATCCCATCCCTGCAGGCAATCCTTTGATGTGCGATTGCGAACTCGCGTGGCTTCGTGACATCTATTCCCGTCAGCTCGTTGAGGAATACGATCTTCAGCGCCGCGGAGTTCGAAGATTAGACTTGTTTACGAACAGTCGAATCATGCCTGAAGAACTTCAACCACGATGCTACTTTCCGGAAACACATCGCGGTCAGAGCATCACTGAAATGTCACCCGTGGATTTCACTTGCGATGTCAACACTGAGTCAGCCGATAGAGGCAGCGGATGTTCTTTGCTACCGTTAGTGGTAGATGAAGGCGTCGACGAAACGAGTCTAAGCACTGGAACTGGTTCTGCGGGAATACCCACGACTCATCCGACGCCGACTTCTTCTTACACGAACACAGGTAAGGTATTTCACAGATTTGTGCATGAACCTGGATCTTGTTGAAGCCACATTGATGCTTTAAATGAACCGGATTTATACTTGATACCAGTTTCGGAAATCCGCGCTTCGACTGATGATTTGATCATTGCTATAGATACCGTGAATTCAGCAAGATGTTGATACACGAACTAAGGGTAATATATAATTCCACAGTCGAAGCTCTCTAAGCTGAACTTCACGGGATAAACGAAAAAATGTACTTTGGGAGTATCCAAGTTAGGGAAACAAGTTCTTGTGCTGGGAGAAAGAAAGAGAAGTATAGGAAATTGTAATCAGAAATATCCTAGGCCTTAAATTGCTTCTTGAATGAGTTGACAGGATGCTCATTTCAAAGGCAAGGGCTTATTTGCCCAATAAGTCTCTGAATCCCTTTCAAAAGGCATATCGTTACATCTTTATTGTTTTTCTTGTGTCAATAAAATAATAGCCAGATTAAGACCTTGCGAAAATTCCAGAATGGAGGTTTGAGGGGGGAAATTCAAGTTAGGGAGGTTATTTTCAATAGTGTATATTGTTTTAAAGGGAATTCAGACATGATGGGTTTGACAAAATTTGACACAGGGTGGTTTTTGACTTTGAAATGTTCGAGTTATTGAGGTTCAATTTCAAACTGTGGTTAAATTATCTCATATCATGACTTTTCCCGCCGAAATTGGAAAATGAGCCTGAATTTACTGTCGTCATTGCGCAATTGATAGACGTAATTCGAACAATAATTACACTAATTATTCAGATTAGGGCAACGCGTCGGGTGAATTTTCAAGTAAAATATAATGTTCGTATAACAATATCTTTGGCGCACCTTCGTATTCGACACCAGCAGTCGCACATTCCACTGACAAACTGCATCAAGTCTTCTGAATTGTAATTCTTCCGAGAACCTCGCGTTCACCTTCATCTTTCCAATTTTCCCTAATCAAACTCACTTCTAACTGAAAGGGATGGATACACGAATAATTATAAATTAAATTACGCTTTGATCAGGTTTGGGGAACGCATCAGATGATTTCCCACTGCCATTCCACCGCATGTCGAATCACTACGGGAAACTGGACGATTTCCATGACTGGACATCACCGCAGAATGCGGAAGTAGCGCTAAAATCACCATCAGCACCCAGCAATATTCCTCCCGCAACGACACCTCCAAACGGAAAACTCAAGCCAGAATCGGAAAGGCTCTTGGACGAAACCGTATCTTCCGATTTCATTCCCGGAGACACTCCAACAATATACGCGGGTTCTTCACTGAAACCCCCACCGGGTTTGAACAGTAACGATCGTAACGATGCTGCGAAACAGCACGGAAACAGGAAGACCCTTTTTGGGTTTCCATTGCCCAAGATACCCGTCGACTTCCGGTGAGTTATTGCTCATTTCCTGACCGCAATATACGGCCACACGAGAAAAGCATTCAGATGAAAAACAGCAGGAGAGAATAAGTATCGATGACCAATCGCGGTAATAATGCACTGCATATATTTTCTGCAGTCTTTTATCAAAGTCACGGTATCTAAATATAATTATTGTCTCCTGAAGCATTAAATTTAGTGGTACAGCACAGTCTAGTCTTTAAAAAAAGAAGTGTATTCCACCTAAATAAGTTTCAATGGCAATGTATCGGGTTTTTCTCTTTTCATCGGAGATGATTGTCTATACATCTAAGAAGAAAATTTCACGAAGTTATCGGACTCTTCAACAGGTTAACCTTTGGGCTGGACAAGCAGAAGGGCAAGAATCTTCCTTCTGGGGGCTTCGGAGGCTTGGGATCACTCCTGGACAATGTTGGATCAAAATGGGTGAACAGTCCACCAAAGAAAAATCCCTTGGCTTCAGATCTGGTGAACTTACCCGAAGAATATCCGGAAAGCGTCAGTAATCCGGCAGCTGAAGAAGGTGAGCTACGATAATCACTAAACGCGCTGCATTTTCAAGGAAGAGGTGAGAATGAAACCACTAAAGACAGTGAATGAGTAATTGCCGACAAAATGAACGAAATTGTGTTCCGGATCGATGTGGTGCTTCAAGCTTATCAAACGCATCGCAGTTCTGTTCGTGAGTCATTCACTCACTCATTTCACACAATGACTCTGAGAGGAGCCCAAACAAGATGGCGCCATGCATGAATTTAAGGTTCGGTGCGTTTTCTTGCGATCAGAACTTAATTTAACTTCTGTCAGGGTGTGTTGTAACAAATAATATACGAGAAAATTGAAAAAAGATACACTCATCAACATTTTTGTGCATGATCGACAAGTGTCTGAGTGCATTTCACTCGCAATCGTCGCGAACAAGAACAAGGACTGCCGAAGAAGTACGCCTATCAACCGTGGTGTGCTCAGTGTTGAAATGGAGCATGCCTAAAAAAACAGATCATTCTTGGTGCGATGATTTTCTATAGGAGAAACATTACTTTGTTTCTCATTTACAGAATACCTTACTTCGTTGGCGTTTGAAAAATTTACTTGAGCCTAAACTGAGCGTATTCTACAGCAGACATTTCTTCCGGCTCAGCCTCAGCTGCACCAGCACCCTCCGCAGAAAGCGCCTCAGGCCCACAGGATTATCCTTCATTGGAAGCCCCGTTCTTGCATGAGGAAGAATCAACAGGAAAAGTAATCCGTCCACAAATCCAGAAACCGACTCCCGTCGCACCACCGGAAAGTGACTCGTCACCTTCCAGCTTTGGTGACTTCTCTTCTGAGCCGAATAACGTTGAAGTTTCGCCTCCAGCGGAGAGTCCATCTCTTGCACCGGAGACTGATAAAACCAGACTATCCTTGCCTCCGGATTATTTTGGAGGAGGGAAAATCGATGAAGACAAGGATGAAACTACCTCAGTGTGTATTTTCCCGTGTGATTCATTCAAGAACATCCATTTCTATGTCTTCTACTCGGTCAAGAAGTGCATGATTCCTCATTAACAGACGTATAGTTTCATCAAGTCATCCTAGATTATAAAAAAAAATTCCTTAAAATAAGCATCTTACCTATTTACTCAAGCACCACTCACCCGTGATTAAGACATGCACGTGGGGTTTTTCAGTCTAAAATTGATAAAATCTTATCCCCTCTACGCACAAAATTTTTCATTGTGTGCTAAACTGCACAATATTTCAAAAATATGAGCACCAAAGTTTGAATTTAGATCTGAGTTGAACCTGAATCCCATTAATTTTTTAAAATTTCAATTAAAATGAATTCATCTGTTAAACTTGGTCCAAATTTTCCCATTGGAATTGAGTGCAGTACACAGAGACTTTAATTTTTCTGAGAAATGTATACCTGCCAATGATGCACACTTTGATTCTTCTTCTAGAATGTGTGAAAAATGTGCATGTGGAACTTGGGTAAGTGTGGTATATTCCTCAAATATCAATGCATCCAAACTGCAGAATAAAAAATTTTTGTAAGCAAGAATTTGTAAAAATAAGGTGAAGTGTAACAAGTAATGTGAATAAAATTATACATAAGGTACATATTTTTTTTTTTCAAAAGCAACTTTGATGATGGCCTTATTCACTACAGGTTGCCTTGGATGATATACCACAGCAGAGAGTGACCACAACTGAATCCACACCAACCAGTTCTTCAACACAAAGAGTTGAAGCCAAATCCCCGCCACCACCTGAAGTTGAAACATCCTCATCAAATGAATCCAAAACCCCACCAACAGTTGCAGCTGTGACAAAGCTCATTGACAACTCAGTACATCACCGACCCTTGGAGGATTTGACAGATGAAGAAGTTCACATGCCTTTAGAGGACATGAGCCCTGGAGAAGTCAACGTTTTTCACAAAGGTTAGTCCTTTTACAGGTAGACTCTCTCTCTCTCCACAACAAAATTCAACAATTTGTTGTGAAAAAACCCTATGGAGCCAAACAAATTTTTGTTATGCAGAGAATATTGTTGTAGACAAGACCATTGTAGAGAGAGAGTCCACCTGAATTGAAAATTTGAAGATCCAAAAAAAACCCCAGAAATATTTTTTCCAGGAACCCCAAAGCCTCCAAAGAGTGAAAAGAGGAATGATGCGGATGTTGATTCTACTTCTCTGCTAACTTCTTCGTCTTCTTCTGGTGCTGAGCCCACAAAGAATCCGGAACCCGAGAAAAAACCCGATGCTGAATCCACCTTCTCGAATTTTTTGAGTCTTTTCACGAGTGTTCAAACGCCTGAACCCCCAAAGCCTCCAGCAAGCTTCATAAAAAGCCGGACGTCCAACATTCAAACACCTGTCATATTGAGTAAGAATAGAACTGAGATCTTCAAAATTTGAAAAATCGATTACTGATAATCTTTTTTTTTATTACAGGCACTGGCCAAAGCAATGAACCATCATTCGAAGAGAAGCTCTTGCTGAATCCCAAGCGGAAACAGAAGGCATCTCTGCCACTTCCGCATTCTCTCAACAATGACCCAGTTTCTTGGGCCGGGATCCTGGGTTTGAAGCCACCTGAAGAACACGAATTGGCCACTGAAGAACCCGTCACAGTGGCCTCCACTACATCTGATTCCCGCAATCCCAAGCTTTACAACGAACTTGAGTTCATGAACAAGTTTGTGACAAATTTCCGCGAGGAAATTTTCAGCGATGAGCCTCGTTCCTCGACTAATGCGGGTTCGAGCAAACTTTGTGCTGTTCCTCCAGTGGTTGCTGTTGCGCTGATTGCGATTTTCGATCTCTGGAGATGAAAGGAGTATTTGTTCTTGCTGTTTCCAGGTTTTTGAGATAATACCGATAAGTAAAAAGAAATCTATTGTTAACATTTTTAATCTTCCAGACTGAAATTTGCAAAAAATGAAGTTCAATTTGAGGAGCAGAATCTCTTTCGAACAATAGATCAGTTGCTGCCATTTGTTTGACAAAATATTTTCCATCAGCGCTTCATTCCCACTGTTCTTGAATATTTATATTTCAAGAGATATTCAGATTAATCATTGAGTGCATGAAGAAATTTTCAGTTTCGTAGAAAAATGATAATGGAATGAAATGTTGCTTTTTTCAACTGAAAGATTTTGGAGACCGAATTGTGAAATCCGTCCAAATTTGTGTTGGAAATTAATCCTGAAAAAGGATTTATATTTGTAAGAAAAAAACTGAGCTGTTGTGCGCTAGTCACGAGAAGTTGTGCTGAACAAGGTAATGCAAACAAACGAACGAAAAAACTTTCAGTCAAGTCGGATGAATTTGTTTTGTTTGTCTGTTTTTTGGAAGCGCGAACATTTTTTAAAGGTGGTGAATGTGTTATGAAATATTTTGTGAAGATCCGTTTTCTGCTTTGAGTGGGGGACAAAGATGATGATGATTGTCATTAGCCAGAATCTGCTGCGTAGAAATTTGATTTTCTACAAATCCTTTTGATTTAAGAAAACTGGCAAGAAAAAAAAAGCGATTCAAAACCAAATCTTGTTTTTGTAATTAAAAGCCGGAATTAATTTATGAATTTTTTCAATACACGTCTCCCTGGCTTAGAAGGGAGATAAATGAATACTGCACTCACACTTTTCGGGCTAATTTCTGCTTTCACAAAAATGCTGGAAAACTTGCCCATACGCAAAAATGGAATGCTTCGGTGCAACCGATAAGAACCAAAATTATTCTACCATTTAACAATGCAAGAACTTAAAAAGGGCATCAACTTCGACCTGATCTGTCAATTCTTGTGTCAGGAAAGATTCCTCAGATAACCCATTTTCCATCAGCCTGAAACCTGGCATGAACACTTTTTTAAATTTGCGGATTATTCATTCACAGGAAATGAAAACAGCGTTTTCTTGCAATCCCATCACATCGATTCTTCTACAGCACAGCCAGAAGTCAACACATAATATTCCGAGTATACTGTACTTCGAATTTCGAATGCCTTCTTCACACAGATTTCCATTCTTTTTCTTGACCCCGGGCTCCCAATACCGGGTCGGGAAAAGTAAAACAATGCTTCCGTAGAGATCAATACCTCACACACTATATCACAAAACGGTCTCACGGAATCACAGCGAATGCAACTTCATGCGAATATTTTCCTGTCAATAAGCGTTTTCACGAACAGGAAGAATTGCTTCATTCGATCAAAGAAAAAAATATCTCCGCATTCCTTCCTGTAAAGTTCTCAGAGAACTTTAGCAGCATCCTGCGAATTTCTTGGCTGAAGTTGACAAACTTGGAAAGATCCAAAAGGTCGAAGCATTGAATATTGATCAAGTTAAACCAGTTTTATGTTGTTGCTGGAATGAGAAAGTTTATCTTATTTAAAATTCTTGAACACATTTTTTCTTAGCTTTCACAACTGAACCTAATACATTTTGAAATATAGTACTGTTCGAATGCTGGTTCAGAAAATGTTTTCCGATCCTTGAAATAATACTGTTTGGGCATCAAAGTTTCACAGTCAGAGTCCTCCCATACAATATGTGATTAACCTCAAGATTTCAGGTCTTTGGTCATATTTCATAAATTTTCTTCGATTAAAGCTTCAACTATGGCAAGTTCTTCCTGAACGATCAACATTCCTCGTTCACATGACGTATGACGGTATGACTAAACCAAATAATATTGTTTTCCAGAACATGGCTGTCCGACCAAGTGCACTATCAAAATTGAAATTTTCAAAATAATTTTGAATATCTCTACAACATTAACTGCCAGCATCAAACAATCAACCGCAGCACTAAGGTTATCCTTAATTATCCACAGGGATGAAATAGACTTTCAACTTCCGTGTCTTCTCTGCATTTCAACATGAGTGAGCAAAACAAAAAAGAACCGTACATCTGAAATTAAGCAAGCTTACTCTGTGATAAAAACCATACGCATCGTCATCCATCTAACGTAACTCAACCAATGGAAGCACGGACTGACAAAACCCATATACCCACCCTCGCATTTAAACCTCAAATGTTGATCTTGCAGGAAATTATGGAAATCATTAATCAAACAAATTGGGATCAGTTGGAACCATCAATTCATCGGACAGTTATGCATTCTCATAAAAAGAAACTCATTACAAGGAAAAGAAGCTTATCGAAAAACGTTCCGAATTGTCTTTAAGTTGTCGAAAAAGGAGAGTTTGTAAACCAAAATTGTCAATTTTTTTTTCGACAGTGAATCCAAACGATGCGCCCTATTTGGAAGCATCCATATCGGAAAACTTTCACCTCATAGTATTCCTACATGTAAACCTTTTGTTAAAGAAACTATTTCTACGGTTTTCTCGGACCTTTCAGATCTTTCCAAGCATAAAACAAAACCTGGGATAATCAAGCATCTTCGCTCAGTCAGAGCAGGAGAACTTCCATTAAAATTTCACAACGCGCCAACAAAAACTTCTGTACTTTCTGAGATTTTTTTGTTCTTCTTGAAATAAAACTAAATCAACACCACATGTTTTTGTCTCTCTCTCTCACCTCTGAGAATGAATAGCCGCCAATACTCGATCCACCAGCAAAAACGCAGTATCTTTGTTAACTTGCACATTCTGCAACGCCGCAATGCAGAACTCACTCACTTCACCGACACTCTAACCGCCCATAAACAAAGAACACCGACCCAACACTCGTTAAGCCACCTCTTCAGCAAACGGCGGCCTCAGGGCTAGTGAGCAAAACAAAAAAGAACCGTACATCTGAAATTAAGCAAGCTTACTCTGTGATAAAAACCATACGCATCGTCATCCATCTAACGTAACTCAACCAATGGAAGCACGGACTGACAAAACCCATAAACCCACCCTCGCATTTAAACCTCAAATGTTGATCTTGCAGGAAATTATGGAAATCATTAATCAAACAAATTGGGATCAGTTGGAACCATCACCTTAATTCACGAAGATCGAAAATAGATAGTAATCGTAATACAGTATCAAATTCATCGGACAGTTATGCATTCTCATAAAAATAAACTCATTACAAGGAAAAGAAGCTTATCGAAAAACGTTCCGAATTGTCTTTAAGTTGTTGAAAAAGGAGAGTTTGAACACCGAAATCGTCAATTTTGTTTTCGACAGTGAATCCAAACGATGCGCCCTATTTGGAAGCATCCATATCGGAAAACTTTCATTTCTTAGTATTCTTACTTGTAAACCTTTTCAAAAAGAAACTTTTTCTACAGTTTTCTTGGACCTTTCGGATCTTTCCAATCGTAAAACAAAACTGGGATAATCGAGCATCTTCGCTCCGTCAGAGCAGGAGAAATTCCACTAAAATTTCACAACGCGCTGACAAGAACTTCTGTACTTCTTGAGGTTTTTTTTGTTCTTGTCGAAATAAAAGTAAATCAACACATCTTTCTGTCTCTTTCTCTCACCTCTGAGAATGAATAGCCGCCAATACTCGATCCACCAGCAAAAACGCAGTATCTTTGTTACCTTGCACATTCTGCAACGCCGCAATGCAGAACTCACTCACTTCACCGACACTCTAACCGCCCATAAACAAAGAACACCGACCCAACACTCGTTAAGCCACCTCTTCAGCAAACGGCGGCCTCAGGGCTCTTGCACATTCTGCAACGCCGCAATGCAGAACTCACTCACTTCACCGACACTCTAACCGCCCATAAACAAAGAACACCGACCCAACACTCGTTAAGCCACCTCTTCAGCAAACGGCGGCCTCAGGGCTGAAAGCAAGTTCCACAAGGCGTCACTGCTCGCCGGCTTCTCATCCAAGGCATGTACGCCGAACAAGGACCATCGGAGCAGCGAAAGCATCGAAGCCCAAGAATTTGGACTCAGTTTCGAAGATAGCACTGAGTTAAGGACAGTCCATGGGTGGACACAAGAGAAGAAGCGAAAGGTTTAGAAACGGCTCTCGACCACGGAAATCGCATCCCGAAGTTCGGGCTTCGCTGAGGCAAGTGAAAATCAGTTCCATCACAGCACTCCTGGGTCCGTCACAGGTATGCATCCACTTCAGCAAATCTAGAGGAAAATCGAACAGAACAAAAGAAAAAATTCTTCAATTTACGACTCATTTTTCCTTTTGACATAAAAAAAGGGCGAAATAAAGAATTAAACTTCACACAGGAGGGATGGTTCAAAAGTTTTGCAAGTATTGTACTGTCTCTTTCAATTTAACTTCTTTGCATACCCAGTTTTTTGGGTTAAAATTTTCCAAAATAAATTTTAGGACAGAAACATTATTCTCAAATACGCATCGGAACTCTGCTGAAAATATTTTTGCCGGAGATTCTATTTGCGGTACATTATGCCTTTCTGATCACGTTTTTGGCTAACAAGAATGAAAACATTCCATATATTTTTCATTCTTACAATGAAAAACACACGCAATTTTTCGAACTCCTCGCAAGAATCTTGAGCTTTATTTTACTTTTTCTTTTCGGAGCAGTCCCTGCAAAGTACAGTACAGTTTTCGGACCTACGCGTAGCAAATGTAGAGAACCTCTGTTCTGAACCAAACTACAGTGAGATCAATAAAACTTAAAGAAAACCTCTGTTCATTTATTCAATTTCATCACCAAGTTTTTTCTCATTACTTTCCTGACATTTCGAAGCTACCTTTGGCATTGAACACCTCTAACACAAAATTATCAAGATTAGAACCGTCTTTTCTTTATGCTATATTTGTCAGATCTCGGCACAATTACGGCATTTTAAATCACACATCAAATTCGTAAAACATCAATTCGTGGCAGGATTTAGACATACACCCCTTTTCACGTTATGATTTGATTGGGTACTAACTTGAATCTAAATTAGGACCCCTTCAAAGCTCAACAGAGAAGGATGAAAAATACGCACCTTCTTCTTTCACGTCATCATCCTCTTCATCATCAGAAGATTCCTCAAACTGTTAGGCTTGTTTCTGTGCGAATTCCGCGAGCACGTCACTGAGCGTCTCATTGCCATTCGATTTGAGCAATTAGTAGTCAAGGTGACCCTCCGCTCGATCTACTCCCTAGAAAAGGGAGGATTGATTCGATCAAAAACATACTTGAAAGAAAATCTCTCTGCAAATTTCTGTAGTCACAACTATCGTCATTTTATCTCCCGTCATACAGGTGTCGCCTCAATTTCGCTGAGGAATACTGTAACGTAGTTGGCTGAATTTTGGTTTACTATACATGTTAGCTTGGTAATCCAGTACAGTATCAGGTTAATTCGGCGTGTAAGGCAAGTTAGAGTTAGTCGACCAGAAATAAGGGTTAGGTTGGTTCAGGTTCCGAGAAGCAAGATTCAGGCGACACCTAACTGCCATTACAAAAATCATGGCGAGCGTTATAAACCCACACATTGACTTCAGAATGCAGTGCAATAGTAAAATGAATTACCTCGCGAGCCATGCAATCAAAATTGTAGCTTGAAACGAATCCTTGATGAGTTGCTGATCCACTCCGTTGTTCGACGCAAAAAGCGGCGCAGTCATCTTTGCATCTCAAGATGATTCAGCACATTCCATGAATTCGGATCAAGAATAAGTTGCAGTGTTAGAGATGGGAGACGGAATGCTTTCAAGAAATTTGATCTCCTGCCCCAACATGAAGGTTGAGCCAGACGACGAAGAACCGATGGGAGAATCTTGGCCATCAAAATTTGGCAATGCAGTTCGTATGCTTTGGAACATTCCTGATACTGTCCGCGCTACAGCCTGGAACGTTAACAAAAATGTCCTTCCCATGAGTTTTCAGAAGTAATTAGTAAGTTTTGAATGATTAAAAAAGTATGCTGAAACAGAGTATACAAAGTAATAAGCAATGAAGAAATCAAGAAACTGATCTGGGCTCGAACGCATTCAAAAGCGCAGCGAAATAGTTGATCAAAAATTGATGACTGTCGCAAAAAATGCCCGAAAAAAGTGGTCCTCTCCTTATAACGGTTATTTCCCCAGATTTAAAGAAATTTTTGTACGAAGCTGCAGCAATAATAAAAAAATAGGAAAGCCATCCAGGAGGAATTTCATTTTAGGATGGTTTATTGTATAAATTCAAACTCAACAACAGCCAATTAAATTCATACACCAAATCCCACTATGTAACGCAGGAAAAGTCATCATTAAAACCTGCGAATCTACGGGGACATAAACATTAAGACACCAATAAATATAAGACAAGATTTTCGATCCAATGTCGCAAAGAAGAATGCTTTTCACGCTCGAGTGAATTGGGCAATTCATAACGCACCTTACCGACACGATTTGCGGGAACCACACTCGGTCTCTTCAAGAGAAACAAGAGAAGGAACAGACTGGAATCCTTGAATAGCCGCGATTTGGGCCACGATTAACCGTGGCTCACACAGTGTTGCGCGGAAACTTCCACCACCCTTCCGCATCGCAAAATCACACTGTGAGGAATTATAACTCAAAATTGTCTCACATCTGAAAGAAGGAAATTAATCAAGTCAATCAGTCTACATGAGCCATTAAAAGATCTTTAAAAAGAGCACTAATCCCTTGTCAAAAGATTAAGCAAATGTCATTTTAACATACAAACGTAAAAAACGAGGGGACAACAAATTCAAAAATAGCCGTTCACAATCTCTAGATACTCGTCGGAGCTTATTTTCGGAACGACATTTTCGTCATGGTGAGCCTCAGTTCTGGTTCGTCGCATTGATCCATTCGCGAAGGGTCATTTCAATAAGATCAGCTTTCATGAGTCGTTTCTTCCTCGATGAAGTCTTCAGTCACAAGAATTACGACTCACTGTAAGAATTGAACGCAATTCAGCCCCTTCACGATACGAGATCCTCCGCCAAACGGTCAAGATCAGAGCTTCTGTTTAGAACAACACTGCAGTCACGGAGAGCGTCAGCTCTTTTTCGTCGCACTATTCCGTTGAAGACTTCATGATTTGAAGACATTCGTTCCTCACCAATGAACACGCGCGGTTTCTTCTCCAACTTCGTTCTCATCCACAAAGCCACGATGATGATCAAGATAATTATTCCCACACCAATCCATGGAAATTCTTCAAGTAGCATCTGAAATTAGATCAAGACTCAGAGCACAAACAGTTTGTATCCATGAGCACTATGCATTTGAAAAATGCATAAAAAACCCGTTCGAGGGCGTAATCACTACGGATTCGTCCGCCAACGAATCGCGAAAGAATCACCGAAGACCAAGCTGAATTCCATCACATATGTTCGGATGTAACGCTAGCATGAAGATCGAGGCCAGCAATGATGACACAATTCTGGTATTCTAGTTCAAAAATTGTGCATGACGCAGTCAACTTTACAAAATAATTCTGGATTCCGGAGCGCGTGGAGAATCTGGCGGGCTCGCACCGTCCGCAGGTACCACCCATCACGCGAAGGCGCGCACCTCGGGGATGTCGTTAACCTGGAGTGCAATAACGTGCGCCACACTGTTTCCATCTTCGACTACAATGCAGTATACACTACCCGGTGGTGCATGTTCATGCTCAATACAGTATATGACTCGAAACATTTCAAATTTGTATTGTTTTCATACACAAAATAATGAGTGTTCAGTAAAAAAAATTTTCATGGGCGTGGCACATCTTTATTCTCTCAATAACTCACTACATACCTTACCACTACTGTATACCAATAATTAATGCGCACCAGCATTTAATTAATTAAAGCACAAGAAATCTGCAGGCACCTGGGCTGAGGACATCCTTGTAAAATAAACTACAAAGCAGAGGTTCCTTGCCTGTATTAAGCCTAAATCCCATTATACTTTTGCTTCCAACAACGGGTTTGTACTAATTACATTAATTAAAGGCCGATTCACATTTTCCTGCAGATATAAGTAATGTAAAATACTTATCGATTCTGACAGTAGATTCAACCAGGAAATGCCCCAGCTTTTAGAGAATGAGGAACTCGCTATTGTCATACACTACTGCATTTTTACATTGCGTGACAAAATGAAATTGTACTGTATTCTGTCATTAAAATTGCGCAGATGGACCTACTACTGTACAGTGAACATGAACTTTGAGGCTACTACAGTGACATCTATAAAATATATTACAAGATTGTAATTTAATTACTTTGCTTACAGATGTCACTTTTATATGAATGAAACCAGGTTTTCTGATTCTTACGTTTATCATATCCCCGATTTTAACGATTAAGAAAACAGCGTGTGTTCATAAATATTGGCTGATCATGAACTGAAGCATATTGATTCCAAATTTTATAAAATGCATATATTTTTCTTCTTCACTTAACGTATGTAATAATTCACATTTTACTCAACAACCACTAGCTCAAATAAGACCTCATAATACAATCCCATTTAAATCGGCTGAATATATTTAATGAATATTTTAATCCTCAACAAAAGCCTCCTTTAGTATAAATCGGAGCAGCATCGAAAAATAAAAGGTTAAAAAATGGTGTTCTGTATAGTTCTTCATGCTGGGCGACATTCTCTATGCTGTGCTTGGCATATTCTTTAAAAAAAATTCAACATGACAATCTTCGAAAATTTGAAGATTAAAAAATTGAAAGGTTAACATTGACATAACATTAATGCTGTCCCATTAATACTGTCAAATATCCCATTCAGTTGGAATAGCTGAATTTCCTATCATGGGGTACTTGAGGCATATTAGCAGCATACTTCAATCAGCAGCCACCTTTCACTAATGTATTACCTGAACAGCCAAGTGACACTTTTTTCGAATCATCAAATACAGCTGTACTTCCATCACTCAAATCAGCCAGTTGTGACGAAAAACAAATGACCCAAAGATTTAAATTGTGTCCACCTCGAACAAACGTTTTCCTCCCAAAAAAAGAATCCACCTTTTTCTTCACAGTCAATTCATGCTGCAGATCCGTCAAGCGGAACGAAGGAATGACACAAAATAAATACATCACCAGCATGAACACAAAACCCCAGCAAGAACAGAGAACCATTTTTAATGCCTTCATTTCCAGTCCCATTACTTAATGTTCATGGTGATGAGCTCGTGCTTGACAATTTCTGCACATCAACTCCTTTACCAGACGCCATGTTTGGAAAACTCCTACCACTTCTTTTTAAGTCCAACGGCGGTGGATTCAAACATGTCATTTGTACAGAAAATCCCGGTTTTTCCTCTTGATCTGGTTTCTGGGGATTCAGTGCGGAAATAATCAGAGGTCCTTCTTGACCCTGCAAAGGAAAAGAAGTTCAAATACAGCAATTCAATAAATCCAGTTCCATATCAGGATGACTCATGATAGTCAACCTGAAAATCAAATGAAGCGACAATTCTTCTATTTACAACATTTTAAAATCAATAAGACAGTACTGTAGTTGGAAAAGCAAAAATTAAGGTTCTTCGCAATGAAAAGCCTTGAATAATGCTCTTTACTGTAGCTTGAATTTTCAATTTACTGCCAAACAAGAACGAAAAACATCTGGAAAGATTACGAATATTGAACTTGAACTATATAAAATGTCGACACATTTTTCTACACAATATATACGCTAACAGTACATGTTGAAAATAAAACTGTTGAGTCACAAATTCATTGGTTGTTTTGAAACCCCAACAATTTCGGTGATTTTCACAGCTGACGTTTTTGAAAAAGTCCTACGCTGAAGAGTGGACGTTGAGAATGAGCAAGATTCCAATTTTGATCAACGAAACACGGCATAAATGAGAGAAACACTTGCAGATTTTGGACTTATACATTTAAAAAACCAAAATGCTACTGTACTAACAATTCCGCGGTTCTCAGTCAGGGATACACGAGAATTCGCCTTTTCGGGCAACAACGGGTGCTCCAAAGTAATCAGAGGACCTTCCATCGGGTTCTTCGCAACAATTTGCGACTCGGCTTCATCCGCATCTTCGCACAACTCCTCAATGCCCTGCGACCTCAAATCCAACTTGTGCGTTTCGAGGTATCCCGCGTTATTCGTGTCCAAGGGATTCTCAGCAGCTTCTCCCATGCTTCTGCTTCTCGTCATCATCGAACCCAAATTGACAGAATTGGCGATGAATGACACTGCGCCGAACCTGTGATGATCCGTGATGTCGATGCTGGCATTTCTCGACGGCAGTCTCGACATTGGATGCGGCGAATGCGGGGGCCAATAGTCACTTCCGCCGGAAGGAAGCAATTTCGCAGATAATGGAGGCTTCTGCTGCTGCACTGGTGACTGAAGGTTGTTGACTGGCTTGAGCAGCTCGTGGGATGCAAACAACTCGCTGCGTTTCGCCCCCGGAACTTGCAATTTTCCATCCGTTACTATATATGTACAAAGAATAACCAGGGAGAAGAATACCAGATCAATTGGTGACCCTGAAATGTCGACAAATTGGTTCTTGTTTCAATTTACAAATCACGCAACAATTTTGAAAATGAAAAAAAAATCTGACTCCTTCGAAAAACTCGACATTCCGTCACACAAAACCAGTCTAGAAGGGAAAAAACACGGAAAACTCCGAGTTTTCCATGTTTTCTCAGTTGAATTGCGTTTTCACACTTGATTAACAAGGCATGGCACAGTTCCCCAACAACATTCTGTGTTGCATACATATCACATTTATTCAAGCACCACACGCCCTCGAGTAAGACGCACCCAGTTACTCAGTCTAGAATTTTGATTTAATTGTATCCCAAAATAAGAAGTGCGACCCTTTTCTAGTGAATCTAAATCTGCAAAATGCTGAAAATAATGCCAGCCAAATTTGGATTTAGACTTGAATTGAGCCTGAATTCCACCAATATGTAATTTTTTCCTTTGAAAATGCATTTTTATGATAAAATTGATCTGAAGTTCCGATTAGAACAGAGTATTACTCACCCCTAAAAATAAAATAAAAATCTTAAAATGTACATCTGCTTATGACGCACCCCCTTTTTTCCTTGCAATTTTATTTGGAAAAAAGGCGCGCGTGGTATTTGAGTAAATACATAAATTTTGCAAGACGGATGACGAAGCCAACTTTTGACAACAAGCCAAAAGATCAATAATCTTTGCAGAAGACCTGTAAACTCTCAAAAATTCAAAGCACCAGAAAAATATCCTTGAAGAAATCATGTATTTTCATTGTGGAGAGCCCTTATAATTTACCGCAAGGAGAATGACTCCCACGCCTTTCATGGAAGCTCCTGGTGATACTGCTAGGCATAGATGGAAGCCTAGACAGTCTGAACCCGGGCAAAACCCCTCCAGGAAGCTGTTCACTGCCTGCACCACCAAGGTGGTGTTTTGGAATGTGCTGCAACTGTGACAGAGGAAGCTTATTGGAGGGGATTTGACGCGTTTGCAGCAAGCAGAAGTTGTTGAAATGCGGAGAGATGCTGCCATTATGAGCAGTTGGCAACCTGAGGCTCATGGAACGACGGCTCGAACTGCTGGTGCCTGCCGTGGCCAACATTCGACTTCTTTTTGAACGCGTTGGTTCTTCATCCACCAACCAGTATGTCCTCATTTCACCTTTTCCCTATACAATCGAAAAATAATGGCAATTTTAATATCGAAAGGCCGGAATATCTCATACTATTCATCGAGAATATTTTGCCCTAATGAATTCAGGCACGCTTTGCTATCCGTCAGACCGTCACCCAACACAATTTTAATGAATACACGGCGCAACAATAAAAACCAACCATGCCAAAGAACTACAAATGCCAGCAAAAATCCATTCGAGATAAAAGCATTCAGAAGATCACCTTAACTATGCAATACAATACTGTACATGACCTTGAACCTCTCCGCGTAAAATTTGAAGTGAACCCAGCATAAATAATCAAATTTTAAAGTTGGCAAATTGGCTTCATTTGGATACATTGATTAATGGAAATTATTTTCTGGCCAAATTTTTAGAACTGCTGATTATTCATAGATGCCCTACCCGCACGACTTAGATGCGTAATCCATTGTGGACATCATTAAGAAAATTATTGCAGTGCATCATTACTTTTCAAGAACATGCGTTCTAAAATTCAGCCCCAATTTACTAACAAAAAAAGCCAGACAAATTCGACCATAAATGAGTTCTGACACTAAAATTTTCAAGTTAGGGAAGGTTTAAATTTCAAATTGCATTGGGCTTGACTCTTGAGTGTATTGCCTGGCGATTCACTGAAAATCTGAATCAGGGAGCAGTTTTGAGTGATATCCTTCTTTATTCACATGCCCCATAATAAAAGAAGATTCTTTCACATTCCCCAAGATAAAAAAAGATATAGTGTAGAACATGGAACAGATGTATTAATGACTTGAGTGATTACCTTGATGGGAATCAATCCTCTGTCCTCAAACATATATCCTCCAAGATGATCCAAAATCTCTTTGGTGGATGATGACACATGGATTTTTAGGGGATAACCTGATGACTCCATCCTTGATGCAGTGTTCACAGTATCTCCAAAGAGGCAGTACCTTGGCATCCTCAAGCCCACAACACCAGCACAACAAGGACCTATACATAAATATACGCACCCACAACAAACAGCATTTACAAATACTAGCAAAGATACTCCAGATGAAACAGTAATTGATGAAAAATATTGGAACTGAAAGACATTATACTGATTATGACTCAAAAATCCATACAAAAGTAAGTAAGTCTTTGGATAAAAAAATAAATTTGAAAAATGTTGAAATTTTAAAATATGTATAAAAATAAAAATAATTCGATGAAAAATATTCATATTTATGAAGCATTATGCTGTATTTTATTTTCGTTAATCTGTTCAAGACACCCGAAATCCGTGACAGATCTTGATTAACATCACCGCAGTGTATATTTCCTTATTCGGATACAATTTCAGAAATGTCTCAATTTTGTTGAAATCAAGATATTTTCGGACGAGAAAAGGCAACCATTTTCCTCCTTCTCTTTCTTAATTCTGCCTTTTGGCTTTGAGAAAAATCAAGTTGAACTAAAAAAAACTTGCTGAAAGTCATCCTTTTCGCCTGAACAAATTATTTAAAAAATTGCTATGCAAGTCAATCTCTTTTTGGCAACAGCAAATTTTCCGTTGTAAAAGTCTTCCTTTAAATAGAATATGCTCATTTGCAGGGAACCACTTATTCTGAAGAAACTCAAATATAGCAAAGGAATAAAAACAACCTGAATGAATGCCGATGCGAAGTTTCAGCTGTTCCCCGGGTCTATGTCTGATCTTGAAACACTTGATTTCACTGAGCAAATGCAGCGCCATTGACGCGATCTCTGCAGCATGGTTGTCTCCATTCCGATTAGGCAACCCACTGACCACCATGTAAGCATCCCCAATAGTTTCCACCTTGTAAACGTTGTAACTCCCGATAATGGAGTCGCACAATGTGTACAAATCGTTCAGCAAGTCCACAACCTTTGACAAAGAAAAGAATTCCCATAAATGCACAACGAACATTTCTTTATGCCTCCATTACTATAATTGATCATGATATGTTTCGATTCGAAAATGTCACCATATATAGTCAATACAGTATAGAACCCTATTGATGTTTCCACCAGCACGAACTCTTCTTTCACCATGCATTCACTATCTAATCGACATTTTCCGGGATTCGCATCCACCAGAAAGTTTATCCTTCCAAACAGAGATGAGAATGATTTGAAACATCCGTGGTTGAAAGAGAGGATTTAACGTTCCAAGAAGAGAATATCACAGGAACATCAGCTGTTGCGGAATCACCGATGGAACCCGCGGACACAAAAAATTGCACCATGCAATTCCGAGTAAAAAATAAAACCACGAATTGCATAGGTAATTTTGTATGGGTTCAGAAATGAAAAAAAGCTTCTTCACCTGAAGTGGTGTGCTTGAAGCAGACAACTCGGTGAACCCAACAATATCGGAGAAGTAAATAGTCACGCAGTCAAAACTTTCCGCTTCAACTTGTTCTCCCCTTTTGAGACAATCCGCTACCGTCCTGAAAGAATGAATTTGCCGGTAGTTAAATTCACAATAATGTGCGAAGACTATTTTGTGATACATTCAAAACGCGCATTCCAAATGGCTATGAGAGTATTTTTAACGCTATTTATTGTTCTTGAATTGGTCCCCTTTCACTTAAAAAACTTATACATCAGTACGTCAACAAAAACATTTAAAAGTGTTGAAATTGCAATAAGAGAGACTCACTTTGGTAGCATCCTCAACAGTAGCATCTCTGTAATGCGCTTCTCTTCCATCAAAGCTTCAGTTCGTTCCTTCACCAAATCTTCCAAATTCGATGCATATTTCTCCATAATCGCGAGCATATTGTCGAATATGTTCGACTTCCTACAAAAAAATGGACCGTCAAAAGTTCGTAATTTTTTTTAACAAAAACCGAAGACATAATGTACGGTTATAATGAACCAGCGTTATTTTGAAGACGGAAATTGTTGCACAAGTAACGACTCTTCATAATGAACAACGGCTCATAATAGTCATAAATATCGATTTCCATGTACAAACGCCAGTACAGAAGTGTAATTCAAAACGGACATTGCATATGTAGCGATCTTTACCTTATACATGCGTCATTTCGGAAAGCTTCTTATTAAAAAGTATATAAGGTCTTACGGTGCTCTTTGGAGGGTCGGATAAGGCTTGAATAATTAATATCAAATACTTTATACAAAATAAGGCACCAAAATATTTACCTCCAGCACACGCTTACAGCAGGTTTTTTTTTTATTTTTTTTTTATTTTTTTATTTTTTTTTTATTTTATTTTTTTACAGAATATGCAGCAGTTGACCCTCGATAACTCAAACCTCCCTGTACAGTACAGTATTTAAAATTTGTTTCAAGTCGTCCTTGCCTGAATTCCCTTATAGTAATAATACAATAAAAGCCTCCTGAACTCTACCGCTTCCCCTTCAAACTTCCACAACTCAAATTTTCTGAAGGCCTTTCGGCTGCTCGGCTGGGAAGAGAAAAGCGAATAAGAAAATGTAATTTGATGCATTTTGAAAGGAAGTGAGATGAGACTTGAATCGGGTATATNATTTGGCTAGGCATGGAATTCGGGTTTTTGCCATTTGATGACGATCACTTGTGCCAAACACATGCTGGTATACATTTATCAGATCAGTCATCTTCCAAATTTCCATATTTATAGGTTTTTCAAAACAGTACAACTGTATACTTCAAGGGATGACCAGCACAAAATTCAAGATAGGGAGGTTTGAGTTAAGGTAACAAGCATTTTTGTTGAGGTTGAGATAGATGATTTGCAGGAATTTGTAATTGGTGATATTCAGGACCTTAATTTGCTTCTTCAATACATTTTCAGGATGCTGAAATTTGAGGCAATTAAGGGTTTGTTTGCCCAATAAGTCTTTCACAATTTCTTTCAAATCACATCAAAATAACCATCTACAGTATTACTGTTTTTCCCTTGTGTCAATAAATTAATAGCCAAAAAGGACTGCTAAATTTGAATTATGGAAGTTTCACCAGTAAAGCCTTTGAGTTGGGGAGAGGTTTAATGCATTATTAATTGTTCCTGAGGGGATGTTGCTGACAGAGTCCAAAACAATGCAAGAATGAATCTTTTGGCTGTGGATCGAGAAGGGAATTCATGGAAAATTAAAAGTGGATTCAGTCTGGGATAAGCGTCAGGAATTGTTTGTAGAATCCCTTATTAAATTTATTTGAGTACAAGCTGGGGGTGCCCAGCCACACCTGGGCAATGGTTAGTATTAATTTTGGTAAATTTTGAAAATGTGTCATGATGATAGCAAGTCTTATATTCAGATGCAATTTTTCATCCCCACATGTTGTCATTACAAGCTGGGGGTGCCCAGCCACACCTGGGCAATGGTTAGTATTAATTTTGGTAGATTTTGAAAATGTGTCATGATGATAGCAAGTCTTATATTCAGATGCAATTTTTCATCCCCACATGTTGTCATTATTTGCAACATCTCATAAGGATGAGGGAAAATCATGATGAGAGTAATGAATGATAAGTTTGGGGCCACCTAAATATGGGAATGCCCAAACATGCCAGAGCATCATTGGAAAAATTTTGTAGGATATGAAAATATTGCTCTGAAAAGAGTATCATATTTTCAAGAGAATGTACACCATTGCTTCCAGTGCACCATTTAGTGAAGATTTAAAAACATTTTCAGGGTAAGAACTGCTGGTAAAATGTTGAATGACCCAAAGTATTAGTTTTGTGCCCAGCCACACCTATATTTCTGGACATTTTTAAAAATTCTATGACTGGAGCTATTTATATTTTCAAGATATAAAGCCTCTCACTGTTAAGTTCACCCATTGTGGCTGGGCCACAACTGTTGCATGAGCAGAGAGATTTTAAGGTGGAAGCAGGGGTATTTCAGCCACACCCAGGCATTGCTGGAAAAAATTTAGGAACTTCTATCAGCTTTCATATAATGTGCTTTAGATTGAGTGCCCAGCTATTTTTGCAAAGTTTTACAAAGATTTATGAGTATTTTCATGGTGAGAATAGGTCACATGTTCAAGGTCACTGATTGATTGTGGACAATGCCTCACTTGTGACCCTGTGGGTCCTGTGATTACACTTGATAGATCTTACCATAGGTAACATGTTAATAGGCATCTCACTCTCCACAAAACAATTCTTCCTTTTTATGGGTCACTATTTGAGGTGTTCCAGCCACACCTGAATAGCATTTCTAAATTTTAGCAAGATGGCATTGTGCTTGCAATTGAATCAGATGCCACCCCTTCACCTGATGTGGCCTCCCTCTAAAATGTTATTCCCAGAAAGCTGATCAATTTTTATTGGAGGGAATAAAGCAAACATTAAAATTCATAGCACAACCACCAAGTGAAAAAATTTGGAAGATTTGCTGAGGCCTCCCCCACTGCCCTTGCATCAGTATTGATGCATATGAAATTTGGACTACTGGAATCCCAATCAACACAACTCACATATGGCCTCAAAATTGTGAGTGTTACCTAAGCAGGGGGCATTGTTATCTCTAATGAATCCTGTGCAGGTCCTTCCTTTTTTGACCTCTCCCCTCCCCCCTTTGGCCCACCCCTATGATGGTGTCAGTTTTTTATTCTTTTATGCATCCCTTCACCAAACAACCCCTTTTTTTTATCTCTAATGAATCCTGTGCAGGTCCTTCCTTTTTTGACCTCTCCCCTCCCCCCTTTGGCCCACCCCTATGATGGTGTCAGTTTTTTATTCTTTTGGGCATCCCTTCACCAAACAACCCCTTTTTTGAAAAATACTTGTTCAAAACCCCATGGATATTCATATGCATCTTGGTATACAGACCTCACCTCTTCCAAATTGAACTCATACCCATGTGTTTAAAATTAAGTGTGAATGGCTGAAAATTAGGAAACCCCTTGGTAGTTCACTCATTTGCCCATGACATTTGAGTTCACCAATGTTTTGTGAATGGCTTAGTTTCAAAAGTTAGGTTGGGATGCACTTGATTTCAAAAATTCTGCATAAAAACTGGAAAACATCAGAATAACTGAAATATTGTTGTGAATAAAAGTTCAAAATGTAGAGATGATCACTTAATTTCATGTGTTCCTTTTTGACTAATTTTAACTGTCTTTGAAATTCAGAACTAAACTGAAGTCCTACATGTACCTGAGTCCCAGTAAACAAAATTGTTGTAAGACACTGGGACTGGGCTATGACTCCTGCCTCTCACCCCTTCCAGCAGTGGCCTCTAAAAATTACAGCCTAAAAACCAAACTCACCTTGGTCACCAAAACTGGAGCCTTATATCTGGGGTCCAAAGGAAAATTCAAACAATGGTTGGACAAACTGACATCCCCCTTTCCCAGGCCCCTGTGAATTTTTAAATAATACAAT